TTAAAGCTAGTTAAGAATTGACGAGTGTGTTTGCAATTTGTTTCACTTAAAAAGAACCTGACACTTTCAATGTGTTTTCATATAGCGGGCTTGCAAGTTTAAAAAAAATAAAAAGTTAAACAAATAAATTTAAAAAACACTCGACTGAAAAAACTGTAACCAGTTTATTACCGATTATCCCCTCTCAGTCTCCTCTTTTCACGGGTGAACGAGTTTAATGCATGCAGTCTGTCCTCATAATGTAGGTCTTCTAACCCCTTTATTAGCTTTGTTGCCCTTCTCTGGACTCTCTCAAGCTCAAGGACATACTAGCCTTGTTGCCATCACCTCTGCAAGATGTGTGTCAGAGCTGAAAGCTTTGTCCTGTAAAGACCCATCTGGTCTTATCCCTAAGGTGCCTTTTAAACTTTCACCACAACCAGGACATTGCTCTTCCATCTTTGTCCAGCGCCAGAACATCAAAAGGAATATTCCTTCCCAGCCTGATGTAGTGCTCTGCAGGTTTATCTTCAGCCACTGCTTTCATTAGAAAGATTGACTCTGTCATTCCTGATGGTCCCCGTTCAGAGGAACCAGCTTCTTGCTCTGCCATTTCACAGTGGCTCAGACAGTACAGCTTAAATATTATGCTCTTAAAAGGACACGGTTCCAACCTTTCCTGTCGAAGAACTCTATTAGGCGTCCTTCCTGAGTGCTTACTGGGCTTTTAGGCATCAGGCTTCTGTTTCACACATTTGCATAGCTGCCACCTGCTCTCCTGCTTACACTCTCTCGAAGTTTTACCAGGTGGATGTTCAGTCTTTATCTGATGCACGCTTCTGGCATGAAGGTTTTTTAGGCTGCTCCGGTTTCTATAATTTTTGTTACTTTTTCTTATCCCTTAGTTTGACTGCTTTTGGATGCCCCAGTTGTCTCTAAAAAAACAAATCCTAATAAACTGTATATTAAAAAAAAAAAAGGAGGATTTTTTTTGGCCTCTGCAAAAGTTAAGGAGAGCCACATTATTAGAAGAACTATGTCTTTCTACCAAACTCCTAATCCCCTACGTAAGGGCATCTCTTTCTTCTATAAACTCCTTGCTGGACCACAAACGTTTGAGAAACTTCCATCTATGGAGTGGTGGGAGGAGGAGTTGAATTTTACACTACCCCCTACCCTATGGCATAAAGCTATTGAATGGCCTCTAACATCTAATTGTATCACACATTGGGAGTCCCTTCAAAAAAAAAATCTTCCATAAATGGTATTGCACACCACAAAGGATAGCTAGGCTTTTCCCAACTGAGTCCTCCTACTGTTGGCGTAATTGTGGAAAAACTAGCTCTTTGACCCACATCTGGTGGTACTGTATTGCATTGAAACTATTTTGGGCTGCTATATTTAGATTTATTTCTTCTGTGACACACTTTGCTTGCTCTCCATCACCTCAGTTAGCACCATTAGGGATTGGTATAGAGCTTTGGCCCCCCCAACCAACGCACCTTTGTTTCTCACACACTGATAGCCTCCAGATTAGCTCTGGCGCGACATTGGAAGCAAGTAGAAACCCCTAGTTTATATGTTATGTTATCGAAATACTGAATACCCATGCCCACTTTGAAATGCTCCATGCAAAAGCCCATTTCAAATGGGATAAATTTAATGCCAACTGGTTATGCTGGATGAAAGACCGTAGATGTACTATACGTACCACATGATATTCAACCAGGTCCTACTGCCTGTCGTTTATAGCTACCCTCACCAAACTCTTCCCCTAGTGAAGCCTTTTCCTAAAATGTAGACTGAAAATATATCTTTGACCTACACTTGCTGGTACAAGTCTCTGTCTAACAGTGTACCATATATTGACTAGTTATACTTTGTAGTATAATTTACATTCAGGTAATATGGCAAATTACATAGACCCTTTCTATAGTCTTGTCCTTCCCTCCCCCTACATGTTTAGCTCCCTATCCTTATCCCCTACCAGATAATTAAAGGATCTAAGCGCAGTTCATACCTCAGGCAGTGTTGAGGGATAGGCATGCTACTCGATGCCTTCCCCTCTCTCTTATTTATTTTTTGTTATTTTATGTCGCATTCCCTACTTACACAGAGGTTTAGGCCTGTTTCTTTCCACTGACTAGCGTATTGAGATGACTGTTTGTACATGCAGGCTGCTAAGTCCTCTGAAACTACCAATCTTACTGTTATGTCGACATGTGTATTCAACCTACTGTTTTAGACTCTGTATGCATCTGCTCTTTATACTTAATAAAAATATATTGCTAAAATAAAAGCAGGATTTTTTTTGAACTTAGTGTAAAATCGATTTCCTGGAGGTTTCACCGTTTTAGTAGTTTATCTACTCTGGGTCCTACTTCTTTTGCACACAAAAAAAAAAGCATCCACATTTTAGGCCTGAAATTTACTTAAACCACACTAAACCCTTGAGCAATCTGAGATTCTGCACCCCCTCCAATTTCTTGTTCTGCCCTTGTGTCTTCCATAAAGTTCTTAGATTAAGTAGTATATTCTCAATACTGCAGTTCCCATTGATGAATTTGTAGATTCTCTTCTCTATCCCCCTTAATAATTTGGTCACCCTTTGAACTTGTCTAGCTCATGCACATCTCTATTAAGGATTGGTGACCAAAACAGTAGTGAAAGGATAAATTTAAATAGATGGAGAACTGGTGGGTGGGCACCAAATGGTCCATGTCGAGAACAAGTTTAGAAAGGAAGGAATCTTCCCCCAAATCTTGACGATGGGGCCTTCGGGATGGTGTTGATATGATCCTAGTTAAGGGGGAAAAGAAATGGATACAGTGAACTTCTCGCAAGCAACCCTGGCTTGACAAAGGAGAATTTTTTCTTCGAAATGCGTTGCAGTTAATTAAATCCATCAAACTGTTCACACTGTGATCAGACTCCGTTTGATTTTTCCTTGCTGCCGCCACTTTTTTCATCCCCAGCACTGCCCTCCACCATCTCCTCCGTATCGCAGGCAGACCCTCCGCTTGTGAGTGGTGGACATTCCTCTGCTCTGCCCCCACCTTCCCAGGTGGTTAACTCAGGCAGCCGTCAGCCACTTAGCGGACACCCGGACTCTCCCCATACACGTGGGACTCAGCCGGTGTTCTCTCATCAACCGGCTGATCTGATGTCCCGGCTCATATCACTTGCTTGCGAGACCGCCGCCGTTTGGGTCTTGCTCCACCAGCACTCCCAGGCAGTACCATTGGGACACAACACAAAGAAGAATCTTCAACTCTCACCAGCCGAAGGCTCTCACTCTCAGTTGCACCATATCGAGTGGAATCAGATGGTCTCCAGGCCGACAGCCCACCCACCGTTCAACACAGGATCGGACCAACATCCACAACAAGGGATCCACCAGCATCTTTTACCACATTGGCATCAGAACAACCCCACCACCGTCGATGACAGCACTTCACTCTGAACCTCTTGGGGAGTCTCTTTATTGTTATATTTTACTACACTTGCGAGAAGTTCACTGTATCCATTTCTTTTCCCCCTTAACTCGGATCATATCAACACCATCCCAAAGACCCCATCATTAACCATCGTCAAGATTTGGCGGAAGATTCCTTCCTAAGCTTGTTCTCGACATAGCCCATTGGTGCCCACCCAACAGTTCTCCATCAATTTGAAGTTATCCTTTCACTCTTTGATTTTCAGTTGTGGCGCTTCACCTTTCCTTTTTTGTGTTCCTCTAGATACATACTTCAGACACCCCGGTCCGTACAAAGAAGAGGGCGCACACCTTACCCTAGAGACCTCTGTGTTGTTTCCTCCCCGATTCACCCGCGCCATGAGCGCTGTAACTTTGGACTTCACCCTTGCAACTTTCCACCAAAACTGTACAGTGTACCCGAGATGTGGCCTAACCTGTGTTTTATAAAGCAGTATAAAGAGTTATATTTCCATCCCTTGAATAAATCCCTTTTTTTAATGCAAGTCATTATTCTACTTGCTTTGTTAGTTGCAGCTGGGTATTGCATGCTATTGCGGAGTCAATGGTCTATAAGTACCCCTAGATCCTTTTGCCCCAGCAAAACTCCTTCCATAGTGTATTCTGCATGCATGTCAATTACTTTTCTTGTAGCAAGTATAACAAGCCTATAATGTTAAACAGCATGGGAATTACAGAATCAGTGTAACTCTCGTCTCTCAAGACAAGGGCTTTAATAGCCATGACAAAGCCAGTGACCATGAAGCAGGGTGGTAAACGGTGCTTGGGATAGGAAATATGGTCCATCTGGAAGAGTCCACAGAGTTTCCATCTTGATCCTTCAGAGGGGATGAAGGAGTTTCCAAGAAGGAAAAGGCATAGATCAGCCTGTATGGAGCCACCATAGCATCCAACGCTTCTGGCAGAGTATCTCTGCATTTTGGAGACAAACCTGTCCAGTTTTTTGTTGAACCTGGGGTCCACATCCGGTGTGATCTACCTGCTACACAGGTCCAGAAATACTTCTGGGTGTAGCGACCATTCCCTTGGCTGGTCTGCCTGCCAACTGTCCACATTTGAAAAAGGAGTGTCTGACAAAGCTTGAACACAAGTTCAGGTCAGGTTACATTCCTTTTTTCCTCCCGTGCCACAGTTGGACTTCTGGTTCCTCCATGATGACTGATGTACGCCAGTGTTCTGTTGTCTGACTGGATCCTGATTGGATGACCCTCCAGTTGGTTTGGCCAGCATTGCAAGGACAACCAAATCACTCAGAGCTTCAGAGTGTTGATCAGGAGATGAGATTCCAAGTCCCAAGTCTCCTGCACGTTTATGTTATGGATAGAATATGTATTGTTAGTTTTTTTCCAGACACTGCAAGACTATTAGTGTCATGCTAATAGTTAGAAGGAACTATTCTAAGAACTTAAAAAGAAACATAATTAAAAAAAGAAAATCATTTTTATTTTATATTGTGCACATGTATATATACGTAAACATTTTACAGCATAAATGCTATATAATGCAGAATATTTTATAATAATAATGAATGTCACCAGATTTAGGCTTTTCTAAATAGTCACGATACTATACTGGTTGCTTTCCTTAGTGCCAAATATCCAGTGACGACATCAGTGGGAAGCATCCTGATGTAATTGAATTCTTCAATTGTGCTGAATCGAAGCTTACTTTGAGGGTCAGTATAATTGGCCTAAAAAAAACACAAAGTAGCATAAAAATAAAATCTTATTCAGTTTTATTTATAGGTAATTTTAGCAATCTATAAGTAACATACTTCAACAAACCAGCCTGAAATATAGGTAAACAAAAACCCTGCATTGCAAAAATTTCCATTGTCTCTCATTAGTGTAATATTGAAGCCTTTTTCATTTTTTTGAAGTTAGCAATGCTGCCAAAATCCAAAATCCCTGATTTGGTGGAAGAGGTCATTATTGAAGCAGAGCTTAAGAACCCATTTCTTACCTATATAAGCAAGAAATAAGCAACTGCAGACGCAAGATAAGCCAGGGCCCAATCGAACTAACACGCTTTTTAAATTTTTATACATAGATCAGAAAATCACAAACTGTTCATTGTATTAGGAAGGGTGATGACTGTATCAAACAGAAATCTTAATTAGGTACTAATCTTTCAAAATGACTGAATGTTTGTTAAAAATTCACAGGAAGCAACATTTCAGGGACACTGGTCCCCTTCTTTGGGGCTAATAACACAATTATGAATAGTTAAACCAAGGGGGG